GAAGTCATTCATAAAAGAAAATGTTCAGAATTGCCCCAACATGCCAGAAACATGAACAGAAAACAGGAAGTAAACATACCGAGAAAATGACGCCTGGAATGGACGGAAGCACCAAACTGATGTCTAATTGCAGCAACAGCCTCGAGGTGATCGACCACAGAGAGTGCACAGGGAGCAAAAGTCAATATTTAACCAGGTGTTGTTTAATGAGGAAACAATACTGCTTCACAATAATGTGTGTGGTGGAGAAGTAATCCTGCAGCCACACTGACCTAAATTGGTGGAAAGTTACTGTCAGAGCTGGTTAGCAGCCACCATAGCCCACCTTTCCTACAGGTTCATCCCTCACATTTAACACACTGGTCTGCTTGGAATTCCAAGCTGTGCACAGCAGAGGCGATGATAAGGTGAACAGAGACTTCGTGCAATGCCTGTCAGAAGACATCGGACTAAAGTTATTAAAAAAAAAAGAAAAAAGAAAGACCCACGTGCATTTTATTGGCATGTCACAGTCTGCTGTGGAAGTCAGTGGTGGGAAATGCAACGGTTGTAGTTTGAGGGTTTATGTGACAGGGAACTAGGCCAAATCTGATAATGTTGACTCAAGCGATATCACTAAGGCTCAGAAAAATGTGAGGATGCAGATTGGGGGAGTTAAAAAGAAGCGATCCCACTTAGCGGATCAGACAGCAGTGGTCGGAGACTACAGCACAACCAGAATTATTGTGCAATGAACTTGCAGTCTCTTTGCCTTTGAAATGGCCGCTTCAAAGATTGAGACCTGATTTTGAGAACTCATGTGATCAACTTTGGTCCTCAATTTGGCATTGAAACACCAATAAGGCAGAGTCCATCTGCCATCAGTTTACAGCTTAATGTAATCATGCTGGCTATTCAATCTAATTTAAATAGTACCATATCACAGCTGTCACTTCAAGGTGCTTTTAAGTAGATCCCCTAAAATAATACAGAAATCCCAACAGTCAGAGGAGCCCTAATGAGCAAGTTCTTGGCGACAGTGAGAAGGAAAAACTCCCTTTTAACAGGAAGAAACCTCGAGCAGAACCAGGCTCAGGGAGGTGCAGCCATCTGCTGTGACCGGCTGGGGGTGAAATTACAATAAGTTTGAAATTCTTCCACATAGTGTGACATGGTTGCTGCAGGAATGCAATTTAACTACAAAATGACAAAGTGGCTTGGCAACTTTGCTTTTCATGTGAGAGAAACAAGAATAGAACCAGTTGAGTCGAGTCTCCTGCTGCAAGAAGTCATCACAGATGAGTTGAGCCCATCAGGGTAAATCTGTCCGCGCTTTTAAATTAGAGGGCAGTTACTTGGAGAACGTCACCAATTTGAGTGATTGCAGTCAGAGCCATAAATCAAGAACTCAAACCTCACTAACAAACACCAAACATCATCAAACGTCAGTTACTTGCTAACTAGCTAGCGCTGACGAATGTTCCCTCCCTTCTAATTGCTATAAATTGGTTGTTGATCCCTTCCACTACATAACCAAGATGGTGTTTAAAATGCATTTAACAGGTTAAAATAAAGAAGTAGTTTAGGGTCATTTATTTTTCCCCTCCCCACATATGCAACTGACACACGCAATCCACAACCATGTCCATGAACGTCAGAGTAGGGCTGCTCAATTAATCGAATTTTAATCACGATTACGATCTGGGCTTTCAACGATCATTAAAAATGACTGAGCCGATTATTAGCCCCTCCCTCATTTATCCGCGACACCTTAAAGGCCCGTTCATGAAAATATTGTCGGGCATAAACCGGTCCGTGGCGCAAAAAAGGGTGGAGACCGCTGATTAACAGGACCCGAGGGAAGCTCGGAAAGCTAAGCAGAAGTTATTTGGAGAGGAGAGTGACTGCTGTTGGTTGAAAAGAGGTTAAAAAAAAACTTCAGTGGTGTTGCACACTATTTTATATTATTTTTTAAAGTCATTATTCAATACATTGTTATTGTTAGTCACGCTCCGGTTTGTGTAACTATTTTTAAATCCCTGAAGAACCCTGAGCCCTGTAAGCTAGCGCAATAATTTTTTTTGCATATGAAACCGGAGGAGTTGTACTTACATCTTATGCCATCAGCTTGTCCTCGGTCACGGTTTCCTTCCACATAAAGCTTTGCAAAAATTGCATAAAAAGCGCTTGCAGGAACAAAAACATAATATTCCAGAAACACGCTTTGCCGATCCGATCAGCTGTTCGTAACACTTCCCACAGTGAAACAGACATCAGCGAGAACTATCGCATGTCGCCATCCTGCCCGAAACCGGAAGTGACGTCATTTTCGCGGAAAATGTAGTTTTTTACTTGTAGGCCTTAAGCCTATACTGGTGTTTTTAAGTCATGTTTGACTTTATGACTAGTTTCTGGGATGCTTAGAACTCAATTGCACTGCTGGAAATAGTTTATTTTGATGCATATGCTGCTTTTTTGCAAATTTGCATCTATAATATTTATTTTCGTTTTTCCTGCAGTGTATAAAAATTGGTGTATTTCAAAAATAAAACTATGAAGACACTCAAAATAAATTTCCTGTGTTGGGAAACTATTTTGTGCAACTTTTTTGTATTTACAGTTTTGAGGGATAAACCTCTTAAATTTCTCCAAGTAGAAATATATGTAAAAAAAAACGATTTTCAATTTTTTTGTAGTTTATTGCACTTTTTTGCAATTAATGTAGTTACTATGGACTTAATGAATACATATTATTAAAATATGGGCTATAACAGTTGTATTGATGTATAGCAACTTGAAATGCTCCCACAAATGGCGCTACAACATGTAAAAAAATAATATAAGCTCTGGCGGACTTGGTTCTATAGTAGGTCTTAAAGGGTTAAATATCGTCAAATAATCGAGATCTCAATTTCAGTGAAAATAATCGTGATTATCATTTTTGCCATAATCGAGCAGCCCTACGTCAGAGGTACTCCTTCAGAACATCAAGAGGCCCTGCTGATGTCATAGTGACCACAGTTACCTTTTATATACACAATCTATAGAAGTGCCCAACATTCCTCATTCAACTTTACACAATCCAGGGACTCAAAATAACAAATATGCAAGTTTGTAATTACACTGAACTGTCACCGAGTCGAGTTGCAAGGTGGGAAAAAGTGCGCCAAGCATCCATCACGAGTCTGGCAAAAATGCCGGCACTGGAATACTCAAAACTGTGGCGCGCTTCTCTAAAGAAAAGAAATCCAAGAAAGACGAGGGAAGATAATAGCAGTGATTTACTCCAACTGGACCAGGCCATCTAATAAATGGGTTAAAGCTTTTATAATGGACTGAGACAAAGAGTGCACAATAATAGCGGACCCAGGATTCAACACATGGATGTTATCTTGAATGTTTTATGAGTGCAGAGTTATTACACTGTGCTTCTAAATCAAGAAAACATAATAGGCTGGAGTAACAGAAAAGTGGACCATGTCACAGGGATGAAGGTTTAAACAGGACTAGTGATACATTGTTTCCATGCCTATGTACAGCGTGTGTCTTGGTCTCTAAATATACCTAAACCTGCCTAAAGAAATTTGTGGAAATACAGTCACACTGGCACCGCCTCCTCATGATGTGTCCCATTCTTCAACCAGCATTTGTCATGAGTCAGTGTAATTGAACAGCACGCTCAAGTTGATCAAACAAGTATTCAGTGGGGTTGATGTCATTACTGCCGGCATGCCACACCATCCACTCCACTCCCAAATTCTGGATGGAGTCTCTGATTTGCAGGGGCGAGCACAAGCAGGATCTGGACTCATGGTTGAACATGGTGTTCCTCCACATGTTCAGGTTCCAGTGCACATATTGGTGACACCAGTGCAAACATGCCTGATGGTGAAGGGCTCGGGACAGGCCGCCACAAAACCGGAGATTGCATGGAGTCTGTTCTACATCATCTGGGTAGAGAGCCGATGTCATCCTGCAAATCTGTAGAAGACTGCTAACAGTTCTTAAGTGCTGACAAGGGAGGAAAACAGTCTTCTTGGGACGCCAACTTCACCGCCTTTCTCTGACATCCTCCATTATCGGAATCTTCGTCTTCAATTTGGAGATTGTACTAGAGCTCACTCCAAATAATGCTGCATCTTGGTTCTGCAGCTTGAAGTTGTCCTACAGCGCAAGCACCAAATCAGTCAAACGTGGCATGTTTGGATTAGACACCAACTGACCGCTGCAGCAGGGTCCATTAGCTTGCCAAGTTGGCAAGTTTTTCATGGGCGGAACAAATGCACTTTCCTTACAAGTGGTACCATTTAAGGAAAAATAAACAAGATTTCCAACTGTATAATATTTATTCCCAAGAGGCTTTTTGTTACAACAAAAAGAAATTGACCAAAGACAAATTTCCTTACTATTTGTGCCAGGTTTATTTTGATCTACCTCAATACATCTGACAGCAAGCCAATTCAACCCCACTGTGGAAATGAGGATTCATTTAAAAATTAAATAAATAACGTTCAAACAGCTGGGCACTGTAGTGTTTACCAACGGTGATTCAAACAGGAGTAATTAGTGCATTAATAAAGGATGCAGATTTAGTGCACGAGTGAGTATTTTAAACACGAGGAAAAGCCAATGCAGTGTGGCTAATTGATGCATTTTTCCCAGTTTTTGGACGACGGCACCATCATCCCGGCCATTTCTTCTTTTAAACAGTGTTACTGTGTGCAAATATGAAGCCATGAGAGCCAAGCGTGATAATGTTGCCAATTGTAAGCCAGCAAAGTTAATTTTGTGCTTTATTCAGACAAAAATGAGCAAAAATGAAATGCTTGCTGAGAACTGTCACTCATCGAGACGCGCCTATTGAACTGCTCCAAAATCCCAGCCGATGTTAGAGGCACACAAAGCTTTCAGTTCCATGATAAGTGGAGGTACGGTTTTTGAGTAATTGCATACTTGGTAACAGAAGCGATGTGAAAATATTTGTTCACGTGCGCAGACAAAAACAACAATAAAGTTTGTACCTTTATCCTATCCATGCAGGCCTCCATCTTCAGTTGCTCCACAGCTTTCCTGGCTTGGGAGATGCTGGCCGTGCTGTTGTTGGCGATGCCGTCCTTCATGGTGCTCCTGTGACGCCAAACAGATGCAAAGGGGGGGGGGAGAGACTCAGTGAACGTCACATTAAATCAGCACCCCCCTGGCGACAGCTCTACCCTGATGGAGCAGCTACTCTACTACAACCTCACCCCCACCCGTTCCTTTTTACACAGTGAAACTTGGAAGGACCCATTTTGTTTGTCCATTTGTTATCTGAAGAAGCTGCTCTGTGGGCATCAGCTGGACAGCGGTTTGTCATTTTTCAGCCAGCGCTCATGCATGATTGCTTTTCTTCCTTTGTCACGTTATTATTTAGACCAACTGGCGGGGGGGGGGGGGATTAGCAGAAGGAGTGGAGGGCTGGGAGGGATTAAGAGAGAGAGACACACACACACACACCTAGTATTTTGCTCAAGTGCTCTTCAGCAGGAGTTTATGCTGGTACACCTAGAAAAGCAAAGCACCTGCAGCTTCTCCCCAGTTCCTCCCAGGATCTGCAGAACGTTCACCTCAAGAGTACATCAGCTGCAGCTCTGCAGATCAATTCTCGCAATCACTACATCTTACTCCCATTTTAGCCTCCTTGAGCCACCCCCACCCACCCACTCACCACTGAAATGTCCCAGTTTGGCAGCCACGGCAAAAATGTGCCCACAGATGTGTTTTCTAATAATTTGCCTTAAGAAATGAAGCATTTCACTGGAGGTGAGGGGTTGCTGAATCAATCCCCCTTTCTATGATAATATGCATTATTATTATTGCGCATCTATTCTTTGTTAAAAAAAAAAAAAAAAATCACACAAATAATGTATTTATCTTAAAGCAGACTGTCGAAGACGACAAATTCTTCTGCCATCCCTCCAGCCTCCACAGCTCTACGGCCAATTTATAGCTTTTAAATCACACCCTCGTAGGAAGCCATCGGGCCTTCTCCGTTTAGGTTTGCTTTGGATGCATCCATCCTGAGGGTTGCTCGGCTGTATTCGCCCCTGTGCAGTTTTATCCAAATGCAACGATGCTGCTAATTGCTGATGCAGATCTGTGAAAACGCGTGCGACTATTTATTTCTAAGAGGAGATTAATCTGTGGACACACAGCGAGCTGCGGCCCTGGTTAGAGCAGAAAACAGCAAACCATGCATCATGTGGGGGGGAAAAAGGAGCAGCAATGATTTTTGCACTGATGATAAACATTTTGAAATAGATCCCTGCATTGGTCGGATACGCGCTCATTAATGTAGCCTGCAGCCGCCGACCTACCTGAAATGTGCCAGTGGTTTTCCAATTTGGGAGAATTCCGGGTTGACTCCACCCAACACACACAGACACACACACGCGCACACACAAAGATCTGTCAAATATGAAACGATAAGAGGAAATCCCAGCCTCGCTTCGGTCTGGACTGAACCCGAGGAGCCAAAAATCTCGGCGTCTTTAAATGTCGCCTCGGCGGCTCGCTCAGTGCGTATTCCGTGTAGGAAGATGAGCTCCAAGCGGTGAGGTCTTGGTGAGCACCACGGCTGGACTTGGAGAGATGTTACGCAGCAGCAGCAGGGGGGGAAACCTCTGTATGACGATCAGATACAGGCTGTGGGGCGGGGAGCACTCGATCAGTGGACCAGGAGCAGCAGCAGCAGGGAGCCGGGATGAGCTTCAGCTGTCCAGAGTGGCCGTAAACGCACCGACGCTGCCTGTTAGTCAAATTAGGAGCGGCTGATTCTAATTAGCTTGATTGCTGCATAAGGCAGCGCAGGTCTGCAGGCTTTCCCCGTATCGTTTATTATTTTATTTTCTATCAGCTTTGACATCACCGTGTCCCCCTGATGGCCTCACCCTTAACGACTGCACGCGCTCTTAAGCGTGGCTTGCATCCTGATAACTTTTAAAATTTTAATTTGTTTTTCCTGTTCGTGCTTCCGATCTGATTTGTGCAGTACGACACGAGTTTCTGCTTACTTTATGTCCCTGAACGCAACCCCTCCCCCAACACACGCACACAAAGAAATGGACACAATCAACACGACGATAATATTTCTTCAAATATTTATAGATTTTTATATATTTATAATATGCTTATCACTTGGTTCATTCAAACACGTACACGCATACAAACAAAACTAAACATTAGGAACCTTCAAGATGCCAAAAATGCAAAGGAAAAAAAAACAGAAAACTAGCAGGAGGGGCCAAAATACAACTTAAGCAACCTAAAACGATGATCTTAAATTATGCATAGCTTTAAGTCATTAACAGAAAAATAATATTTCCTTCTGTCAGAAAATCTGCTGTCACATTTTCTACCTTTTACATTAAAAAAAACAAACAAAAAAAATACATACAAACACACATTTGGGTTGAGAGGTTGTGGTTCACATAAAGTTTTTCATACATTTCATAGAGAAAATCAGTAAACAAACACAGTAACATCATGTCCACGTAGGATCAGGAAGAAAAATAAATCAGGTCGAAGCGAAAAGGAATGAGTTAACAAGAAATAATCCCTTTCTCAAGTAAGTGTAAGACATTAATCGTCACCGGGTGCTGCAGTCACCACAAAAGGGAATAAAAACTAATTGTTTCACAGCTGTCTTAGAAAAAGAAACGAAATGAACCCTGGTTTCTTCCCACATGAAACAAGGTACCAAAAACATGACCTATTGCATGTCTGTGTCTGATATTGCTTTCTGGATTTGATTTATTAGTGGAATTAAATCAAGCTCAGTTTGTGTTAAGGCCACAGATCATTGGCTCTACTTAAACTGAAGTAGCTGAGGGAAAAAAAAGTGCTTCTGATTCTCGTTTAAGAAACCGTGAAGTGCAGTAACGTAAGTGGGAATGTAAAGAAAGGCTACATGGATCCTGGAGTGGGTTAAGAAAAAGAAACAGCTGCTCGGCCGTTTCCCAGACCGATGTGTGTAGTGTATATGATATCAGCCGACGCGACGCTCTTTACTAAACCCTCCCACACCCACTGCACCCTTTTAGTAATGCTGCACAGGTGCTAAGTAAGTGTGGGAGATCAGTGAGGATCACGGAGCATTCAGGAAATCACTCTCTCCTCCGCCTTCTTCCTCCTCCGACTGCAAGCATCTAACAGTTTGTTAATTGCTTTCTCAAAAAAATAAATAAATCAGCCCTGTAAAGTAGTGAAAAGTGGTTCTTGTGCATTTAAGCGACGGGCAAGACAGAGATGAGCCTCCGTGGTGTTTTTAAAGAGCAAATGGGCTGGTTTAACTAAGGGAAGCCTTAAAACAAGGAGCATTGCAGCAAATGTTACATCCACATTCACACAGTCAAGGGCAGCATCGTCCTAGCATGCAAAAGCAGGACAGAACAACAGGCACCCACAAGGTCCCCTCGGTCCGTCAACTGAGGTCAGACACAAAGTGAAGCAGGTCTGTGACTCTAGCGTTCAGATCTGAGTGGAGCAGACAGCGCGGCGGAGGGACGTCTCACTCCCGCAGAGCGGGACCTCTCCTGGCGACAGACGCGAGGAGGGGGCTCCCCTCCCTTGCAGCCACTGCAGCGTCAGCAGGACGCGTTCACTGAGCTGGGGCGGCGATCTGTCAGACCGCACGCTGCAGGAGACGTGAGCGATGTCGAGGTGAAACACGAGGGTCTTCACACTTTGAGTCTGGCTTTGTCCAGACCATAGCAGCTTACCAGGAAACGGCTAAATCAACACCAGCCAACAAAAACACATCAGCAGGAATTAAAGACTCGACAAATGAAACACTCTCAGAAATACATCCTGTATAAAGTGTCTGATGCAGCCTCAGCCAAATACTCAACCATTCCTGCAAGAGTCCATTTTAATGTATTTATAAATATATACTTATCTACATATAATACTATTTTCATAATCATTTCTTGATGCTGGGAGTGGCGGCGGTACAGTTTGCTCTGCTGGGGATGGCTTTATTTAAAAGTCAGGGAGGGTTCAGAGAGTTTGAGGACATGCTGACATGTCCTCCTCTCTGTCAGTGCAGACAAGAGGAGGAGGAGGAGGAGGGGAGGTCCTCTTGCTGAGAAGTGGACAGGCGCAAACATCACACAAACACTCATCCTGCAGCATAGCTGCTCAGGAAGGAGTAGAACATGGGCAGCTTCATGCGCTGCTGGTCCCGTCGACACCACGCCATCACCGTGCCCTCGCTGTTGGCCGTGTAGAGGTGGTGGCCATCACACGAGTACGTCAGGCTGAAGCAGACACGAGAGGAGACTGTTAGACTTAAAATGCTGACGAGCATACAGGCGTGGCATAAAAGTACAAAGAGAACAGCGCGCTGTAAACAAACCTGATGATGGGCTTGCTAGACTTGGGAAATGTGATCTCTCTCACTGGTTTCAAATCCCAGGTGCTCCATAACCTGAAAGCATATCAGAGATTAAAAAAAATAAAAAATAAACAGTGCAGGGAGCGGGATGTCAAACTCATTTTACATCGTGGGCCACATGCAAGCCCAGTGGGCCGGACAAGTGAAGCTCCTGTCAATCCAAAGACATTTAACTACACATTTAATTCCTGGGATCTCTTAATATGAGAAAACCAGCAGTGCAGTTTCAACAGGACATCTGGGATTTTCTACATGACAGAAATTCTGCTGCAGTAAAACAAATCTGTCAGCACGACTCCTTGGGCTTAAATTATAAGACATAAATGTGTAAAATTACAATGTTCTGGTAGCTCTTTGCTCAGACTGCACTCCAAGTATAAACGTTTTTGGTCATTCACAGACAATTTCCTATTTTATTCTCCTTTTTTAAAAAACTTCTGAGCTATTGTAAAATAAATAAATTCTATAGCAGAGAGTGAAAAACAGGAACTTTCTGTCATGTAATATTTACTTATTTACAGTTAGATCCATAAATACTTGGACAGACAACTTTATTCTAATTTTGGTTTGTAACATCATCACAATGATTTTTAAATGAAACAACTCAGATGAAGTTTAAGTGCAGACTTTCAGCTTTAATTCAGCGGGTTGAACAAAAAGATTGCATAAAAATGTGAAGAACTAAAGTATTTTGAACACAATCCCTTCATTTCAGGATCTCAAAAGTAATTGGACAAATTAAATAACTGAAAATACAATGTTCGTTCTTATAACTATATAAACTTCTATGACTATATTTAAAATATGTTTGAGTAAACATGTAAAAAACCAAGCTTGTGTCAGTGTCCATATTTATATGGACCTAACTGTATTAATTACTTTGGTGAGTGGCCATGGAGTGGATCTATATGAGAAGGAAAAGCTGAAGTCGAAAAAGTATTCCCTCCTCCGAAATTTCCAAAGCCGTCTAGTGGAACAGGACACAAACGTAACGGCAAAAGAAAAGTTTTGCCTACCTGACGACGCCATTCTCCAGCCCACCAGCGATGACGTTGACAGACACGCCCTCCGGCTGGTTGGAGAAAGCCAGAGAACAGATGATCTCTCTGCAGTGGACATGCCCAATCAGGTCCCCGTTCACCGTCCACAGGCGAAGGTCGCTGCCTCCTCCCTCTGGAAACAAAAGAAGAGGAGCCATAACTCACACCAAGGACCAGAAGACACTTCAATAACCAGAAGATGAGACGCGATAAACACTCTGGTTATAAAAGAAGACGCCCGCCCCCTCATACCTGAGTCACACACTGTGGCGATGTCCCCTGTGGTCTCGCTGGCAGACACAGCCATCACCGGGCTTTTGTGGCCTGTGAGACTCTGTACATAACAGAGTCTGGAAAACACAGAAGTACTCAGAAACCACACAAACACTGCATAATGCAGTTTCTTCTTCTTTAAAAAAAACCCAAAACATAAAAACCTTTCACACACACTGACCTGTTCAGGTCCCAGAGGATGCAGGTGCCATCATTGCTCACACTGATGAGGATGCTGTAAGGTTTGCAGACAAACAGGCTGGTGACTTCGCCCGTGTGCCCGTACAGGTGAACCTGAGATTCCACCTCCATCTCTGATGGCTGTGGAGGGAAATACATGTTAGAGAC